TTTTGAACACAAACTTTGATTATTTTTTCATTATTTCTAAAACCTTTTTCGGTATTGAACAACAAAACTACACCTACAACTATATTTGTCAAAAAATCAAAATAAAAACGCGACTAAAAAAATCAATATCATTGAGCCACCCTGTATAATTCTAGTTAAATGTCCAGAACACAACATACTCAAACTAATAAGCATTGTACAAACTTACACCAGCACTCACTTAGCCTACAAATAGACAACCACTTTCCTTCAAGTGCACACAAACCCATATAACCACATACACATACATACACATATACTGACATATATATAGTATAATATATATTTCCAAATTTTGCTGCCACTCATCCATTTGGGCTACTTATTTATGCAGATTAACTATAATAAGTTGTTTGGTTACGAATTTCGAGGAAATATAAAGTAAATACACACACAAATGCATAGATAGATTATCCTTCAAATTGATATGCAAATAGAAGGACCATTGCAATCGAATACGTTGCAATTGGATTTTGTTTTCAAAATAGTGAAATGGATATGCAATATGTGGATGAGAAAGCCATAGGCTATAATAAATTAAGTGTAAATGGGCAAATATTGAACGACGGCCATGGCCAATGAAGCTGTGTGTGTAGAGCATGTGTGCTGGATTCAGGGACCTAATGCATAAATAAATAATGAGGCAAATATTTGTATTTTGATTTGCTCATGCAAATATTATGCTGAAATTCCTTATAGAACAGCTGTTTTGACTAAAATATTGAACGAATATTTAATAATGTGGTGAATAAGCTGCTGTGGTGGGATGAGCTTGACACACCATATCTCAATTGGTGTATTTAAAAAAAATTGTTATTTTAGTTTTAGGGCTGTCAAGAAAGAATACAAATAAATGCATAATAATATACATATAAATATAAAAATTATTTTCGAATCATTTTTGAATATTTTGTAGGTAATTATATTTAAAAATCTGATAAATAATAAATTGAGTTATCATAGTAGGTCTTATGACTAATATGTACAGCACCAATGTAGAGAATCGCAAATTTTAGTTAGAGGAGATATTACAGCTTTGTGAACTATTGTTTTCCCCAGAGAAAGAATCTCTCGTTGAAAATTTTTTCTCAAAATTCCAATCTTTTAATATTTAATTAGTTTTAATAAATTTCTCTGACGATAGAAAAAATCGAAGAACTTTATTTAGCCCAAGGTTACGGTTCAATCCGGTCCCATGTCAGTCGGGTCTGCGCAAACGAAACAGAACCGAATTTTTATCCAACGAACACTATGGAGAGTTAAAAAAATAAGTGAAATAAATGAAGTAAATCATATTTCCCGATTAACTAAAGATACCGTGGATATCAGGGGATTTCATGGTTGATGTACAGAATATGAATAAAAGAGAATCAAATTTATTGAATTGAGCCAACTGTGAAGATGATAAATCGATACCATTGCTAACGGTTCTACAAACGTAAGACGGAAGACACTTCATCTATCAAATTGAAACTGAGCTGCAAATACTTATGAACAATTTCCAATAGCAGCAACGCAATGAGAACCGAATATAGCCGATAGATTTTAAGTGTGGTGCGACTGCGTAAGAGTAATAGATTAAAGAACCGTCTTAACATTACCAAATGAACTTCGGATCTAGCAAATATACAACAGATCAGATATCTCTATAATATGTTGTCGAGTTTACGATCATCGTCTGAATTTGGTACTCGAAACCTTAAAACACCGTTCTTAACGACCTAACTGATCCGACTATTACGTGACCCGAACGGACTTGGACTCTTATACGTCCAAGGACTGTCAACATGGTAGCATACTCCAAAATTATTTATGAATCTTTTCGGTCGCTATAATAACATTCAAAAAATATTGGCTCAAACAAAAGCGAGAAAAGACAGCTAGAAGATATATTATGTTTCGTGAAACCGCGGAGAGAAGTCTTGAAACTTTGGAAGTATTATAAATATTGTTGAATTGAGCGGGATCTGATATTTCCTCAGCGGAAATGGAGCTAAAATGGCAAAGTTTGTATAAAATATAGAGAACGTTTCTCGATATTCAAAGTAATGTAGTATATACATAGTTTCCTGACTTAATTTACTGATTATTATTTATATTAAAATTTAAATAACTCAAAGTAAAAAGAAAGTAAGTAGTAAAATAATGAAATTAATAAAAATTCATAAATACTTGTACATATATGGGTCACACAACTTATGCTCTTTGCTCAGCACTAACTCACTTCTAGTTGGCATATTTGCTCATTCATCGCCGCATAAACTTAGGCTAACTCTCAAATATCTCTTGCCGACGTCGCAATAATTCAACACGTTGACAGTGCAATATCTGTATGACACCGAGGGTATGCAGGTGCTGCACCGAAGCAACAACGCCACCACTAGCACTTATCGAGGTACAAACGCAAGATTGTATTGCGGCAAGAAACGGCAAATGCGTAAGAACCTTGGTAACGCCATTATTAGTAGTTGGCAACAATTTGTTTGTCATAATTCTACAGCGCCAGCATAAGTTTTGTCGCGCAAATTTGTTGCAATTGCAGGCCGCATTGTAGTTGCGTGGCAAGATAGCGCCATAGAAGTGCTTTCAGGTAAAATATAATGTGAACAATCTAGCAACCGCGAAAGTTTACGGCAAATAGAACATTACAATTTCGTGTCATAGTTATCTTAAGAAATTCACTGGGTTTTGCTGCAACAGATTATTGCCGCATATATATTTTTTTCTATTTTTTCCACTTTGTAATTTTCTTTCTTTTAAGTGCTGCGAACAAAGAAAGAACTTATATAAAAACTAACTACTTCCTGAAAACTATTTTCGCGCGCAACGCAAGAACTTCACAAACACATGTGTACATATCCCAGTGTAGATATGTATATGGTACTTATTCATATAATCTAGCATATAGTGAGATTCTGAATTGCAGTATTAACTCAAAAGCTTTAACTAGAAGTCAAGTCAAGTTACGACTGGTCTGAGCGGTCTAGATTGGCATTAACTAGTTAGAAAAGACACTATATATGCTGGCCAAGCACGGGGCACCAATCCGATTGGTCATCTCGGAAACTCAAATAACTCCTGAGATCACATTTTCATACACGATTTTATGAAATTTTTTATATTTCGAATAAATGTTAAATTATTAAAATTGATACTAGTTTCTGTGTTTTATAAATATTTGTTTTGACGAACTCAATAGGAATCTGCTGATATTCTAGGAGTTTTTCATCATATTTAATAAATTTCTCCAATTTTTTAATATTTGTACCTTAGGCTTTTTTCTGATCCCTACAGCACAGCATATCTGATTTGATACTTCTGTTCGAACATAATGTTGCTGTTTAACCTACCTAAAGGCCTAGAACTCAGCATTAGAAATTTTCACACAACTCTAAAATGGATTCTGAATTGCTTGATGATATTAGTATCTACAATTCTGATGCTGTTAAGTAGTACTTGTTAGAATTGTATTTCACAGCACTTCCTCTTGGAAAATACAGACGATGTTAATTATCCGAAAGAAATTGTTTGTATAAAATCAGTCCGCGACCTTTTTGTAACCCGTCAATGAAGCTTAATTTAACCCTTAACCCGATCCTAAATAGGCAATGTATCTGATTGCTTTTACTAAAATCTACCCTTGAAAGAAGTCTGACGATATATTTATAGTGGGAGGTTATCCAAGTTTTGACTATGTTTCAAGCAGATAATCTACTTGAAAGGTCGGCATAAAATTTGTAAAACACATTAACCCTAGTTAATGTGAAAGCTTTCAAAAGCTCTCCAAGTTTTTTTAGTTTTAAGCTTTCACACAGTTTACCATATATGATGATATGTGTACATAGTTTTTCTTTTAATATTATTTATATAGGTTGATATAGAATATAGGTTCGAAACATTTCAGAAAACCACATTTAGTGGATTTTCTCTCTTCCAAGAATACGAACTTCTTTCGGAAGTACATACGACGACAAGTTTGCTTCGAGCTGATATACCACTATACATTAAGTGTTCCCTGGAATGGAGCTAATTCTTCATACACTTAAAAAACACAAAGGTTTGATATGAATACGGTACGAAAGTAACCTCTCTATAGCTTGCAGAGTTTTACAGGATTCTGCGAGAAGCTAAAATATTATAGATAATAATAATGCGTACGTTTTTTCTCCAAGAGCAAAGTACTGTAATTTCAAATCTTTATTTATCGTTTTAAAGTTTTTATAACATGCTAACTGTATCCACTGTAGAACTAGTAGCGCGTTAGCTCCGAAGCAGATTTCTCTACAGAGATCTCACGCCTACACACAGGCTCAAGATGCGACTTTGAGCATGTTATATGCATTTTTTTTGCTCACAAGAAATGCACAAATCTAGATGAGTCAGTATGTGTATGTGTGTGATTGGCATAAGGACTCAGCGGTTAAATCGCGCTAATAATGTTGTTGCTGTTGATTGTTTATCTTCATGTGCCGCTATGCGTTTATGCGACGGTTAGCGACTCGAAAATTATTGCACTGCAGTTGCTGACATCTCCGTTTTTATACTTCAAGTATTCAGAAGTTGCTTTTGTTTTTGCATATTATTCGGCGATGTGTGCTTGTGGGTCTTCATGTTTCTTATTTTTTTGTTCCACCCACTCGCTTTGACTAGCACTATCATGTTTAAGTTTGCGATGCTCTTGTACTTAACTCAAAGAAAGTTTTCTCTTTTGCAGTTACATAAATACTTTCTATTGTGCGGTAAAATGTTCATTTTCTTAGAAGCAGTGAATCGCTAATGTGGCTTGGCTGCGTTTAGAAATGGTTATGCGGTTACTTTTTACATTAGTCAAAAAAATATATAATGCATCCACTTCTCAATGCAGACAATTATGTAACCTTTTAACTGCTTAGCGTTAAATTTAGGAGATAAGTGTTGGTGGGAAAAATATAAAAAGTGCTATGTACATATATATCGCTTACCATTTGTGAAGCAGCTTTTGTATTTCGCAATAGTTTTTCTTCATGGCAAAGCTAAAAGCAAAATATTTATGATTATTAGTCTTTTATATGTTTCTTAGTAGTTTGAAGGAAAATGTATTTATATATATTTTTTTGTTTCAAATATTAAGTGTAAGAATTTTTAAAATTAAGAGAAAAGCCTGAAATCTAATAACAAAAGTTGATTTTGAGCGAAACACGCACAATTAGGGTGTCTGTTATTTCCCAAGTTGCTTGCTTTTTTGGCAAACTGAAGTTTTAGTTTTTGCTCTAAAAACAAGGATTCGACGTAAAAAAGCTCCTTAATTTTAGTTAAAACCATTAAATTATATTTATTTTCCCATGCATGTATATAAAATTTTGATATTTTGCATTAAGCAAGTAAATCTACAACTTGGAAAGAGCCCTATTCTAACACAAAATGGTCCGTTTTACAAAAAAGATCTTCTGATATTTGCTATAAAAGCAGTGATTTAAAAATTAAACGCAGTTAAAGTTGTACATCAAATAAACTGAGCATTCATACAAGCGATTTATACATTCTGTGTAACTGTTGTTGTTGTTGTAGCGACAAAAAACATTTCTGAAGTAATTTTGACAGTCTTTGTACGTATAAAGATCCGGATCCGTTTCGATTATTTAGACCCGACTGATTTGAGAACGGATTCTGTGTTACTCATACAGCATGGTGTAAGGAAGGGCTAACTTCGGTTGTAACCGGAAATTTCATACACTTGCAACTTACCAGGATTAAAGGCGGGGAAAAACCTTCAGGTATTGGCAAAACTTTATTTTAAAAATGTTGCAAAGGAATTCACGATTCATTCTTTGACAAAATCGTGAATGGATTAAAATTAAATTTTTATCTTCTTAAATAATATTATACGTCATAGACTAAATTAGTATACATATATTTTACTTCCTGTCAGTGAAAATTATATTAAAATCATCATCAAATGTGACATATCTGACAGATGTAAAGTCAATGATGCGATATAGTTAAAGTCAGCCAGACGTTCGAAAATCATTTTAATAGGAATAGGGGGGTTAAGGAAATTATTGATTCGATTCAACTTATTTTTGACATACAGACATACTATTATAACAGGAACTGGGGTCCACATATTGGGTATTTGAGGGCTTTAATATTTTCAGTCCGATTTGAACAATTTTTAGACCTGATATGGCATACCTTAAAGGAAATATTCGTGCAAATTTGTATGCCGATATATTAATTAGCGCTTGATTTGTATACTGCAAAGAAAAAAAATTTGATGGAATTTTTATTTTATTGTCTAATTTAGCCAATTTTCATGTTGTATTGTGATATGGATTTTCTTCTAAATGTAGGTGGTACCACGTCCATAGTCCAAATTTGTTATTGGCATCTATAAAGCGCTTTTGTACCATCTTGGGAGTAGAATTTTAAGTCTCTGGCGCATTCATTTATAGTTTTATCGCACTTTTGTACTAATTAACAAAACCGTTAATGGGGAGGGGACGTGGGTATAAACCGAATTCATCAAATTTTGCACTGTAGGTAGGGATTTCTAAACGATTTTGTTTTAAATTTAATTTTTCTTAATTAAGTGCTTGGTAATAGCATTTTATAGGTTCATAATTTTGCGGGCGTGACAGTATTCCGCTTGCACCCATTTACGAACTAACCCCTTTTTGGCATGAAACACGTGTGCAAAGTTTTATTGCGAAATCTCAATTTTACTCAAGTCATCCTGATCATTTATATTGTATACACAACTTCATATTTATCTCGAATCGGTTTAGGTGAACAAAATTATTATAATCTGTAGCAACATGTTGCAAGAGTTTCAATGTGTATCCAACTTTCAACAACAAAGTGCACCAAAAATTCTCACAATAAAATTATATAATTTCTATGGAAAACAGTTTTGAATTTGAGTTATTGCAACCTAATACACACATTTAAAATTTTTGATTTACATTTTTATATTACTAGAATATTGATTATATACTGCTTCTTTTTAGAGTCAATTAAATATATTATTTTTTGGTTTTTTATTCTTCTAAAAATGTAATGTAAATGTAAGTCATAGAACTTTGACCGCTTTGACACTTTTATCACTATATTTAATGCTTACTGCTATGTATAAAAACCCATAGTTAGACAAGAAAAAACTAACACATTTTAATTGAATTGAATAATTCCTTTTTGTATTTGCCTATATATGACAATATTTAAAATTATTTCTATCTCTCTTATGCCAATGCGATGATTAACAGAGGTGGTTGAACGACTCGCATGAGGCAAGTTCTCCATGACTTCACAATCTTGACTGAATGTTTTTTGTCAGTCCAATACTTGTGCTCGTGATAAAGCTGACTCCCTAAAAAACTTCTGCTCACACGGCTTTTTCCCAAAGAAGCAGCTCATTTGTCGAAACCGCCGATATCAAACCACTATACCATATATAGTCGCTATGTAAACTGAACTATCGTAATCAAGTGCTTGTATGGAAAGCTTTTTTATTTGGAGATATCTTCATCAAATTTGGCATGGGTTATTGTCTAAAGCGATGATGCAATCTGCGAAGAAATTGTTCAGATCAGGTTACTATAGCATATGAGCATACATATCTGCCAATCAAATTGACTGAAGAAAATCAAGTAATTTTTTTAATTTTTATTTTATTTTATTTTTTTGGTTTTTCCTTTGGTTGGAATTTGAAAACATAAATAACATTATTTACCCATAAACTTTCAGCTGTCTTCTAGTGTAGATATATTGGTATATGATTTTTTTAGCATTCCATTAATACTTATGGAATATGTGCAAGTATATGCTGGTAGAAAAAGAATTTCCATATGCTAATAGCAAAATTAAATTCATTTATTTAAGACTTAAACGAGCATTTACCATACATAAAGTATGGTTGCAGCATTAAATTATTTACTTTTTCCATGAAATTCAGGATATTTTACAACTATTAGGTTTCACTAATACACACAGGGGACTGTTTACCGCAGCTGTGCAGTTGGGAGCACGCGGCTTGTTTATTAAATGTTTGCACAAACACAAGGCAGGAAATAGCAAAGTGCGTGTGCGAGTAAATTGTGTTAAAAATTAACAAAAACAAAAATTATGTTAACAACATGTTGGCAAAAAATCCATTTTATGCACGTTGCAAGTGGCATTAGATGTGGTTATGGCTGCCAACCGCCATGGTGCACGTGCGTGGCTATGTAAGCATGCGTGCGCACGTGTGTGTGTGTGTGTGTGTTTACGGTGTGCATTTACGCTTGTTTATGGCACAAACAGTGCGCAGGTGGTGCCACATGCAAGTACTAGCATTACCTGCATTTTCCTTAAAACCACAATTTATACGCCAATTATTGTATTTGCCCTTCCACTTTATTATTTTAAATTAAAAATTGATGCAACATTTAATTGCGCACGTACACGTGCGTGCAAATGAAATTACGCATTTTTTGTTATTGTAGCGAAAAGGTTTTTGTTGGATTATAGTGAATGCATATATATAGGTATATATGTAAATATATTTATATATATATATACTTAAACCACATTTGCTCAGCATTCGACCAGTGAAATATGAATTTTTGCGCGCAAGTGTACTTTTACATCTATACATTTATATAATATACAAGTATGTATGTATTGCGTATATATGTGTGTGTGTGTGTCGTGTTTGCATTTTGATTGGCAAAATTGGGTATTTGCGGCGTACCACGGATACGCTTTAATGAAATGAAATTAATGCAATTAAAAATGTTAGTGCCATAAAATGCCGCATGCAACATGCGCTGTTGCCAGTATGTAGGAGTGTGTATGTGTTGCAGTACTTTGCGCCAACAAGAGCTGTTCTTACTAACACACAGCCAAAAACTAACACACACTCTCTCATACTCACACACACCCACACACACATGTACTTTGGCGCTAAATACTTTGACATAACGTTCGCTGAGTCCTGTTTACGGCTCGTTGACTGCTTGACCGCCTGCACCAGTTGACAGGCTATGGCTGTTGCGGACGGACAGCGGCCGCCAACAGCGTTTATGTTAACAAAATATTTTATTATAGCAAAGGTAATTAAAGAATATTTTAGCCTTTAATTAAGTATGCAAATGTGCCAAAAAATTACCAGCCTAAATCCCATCAATTAAATGGCACTTTTAATGAGTGCAACGGCGAGTAAATACATAATTACGCATGCACTCAATGCATGCATGCATACACACACACATAGATATGGTAATGCGTGGTAATTAAAAGCGAAAATTGGCGATTATATACACAGTTTTTGTATTTATTTGGTGCAAATATTATGTGCATATTTTAAATGGTATATTTAATTTAATCAAAGTACTATGTGGCAAGGCTGTAATGTATGAAAATATAATGCACTGATGTTTTAGCAAAATCTAATAAATAAATTTGCTGCATTACTTATGGTAATTATGGAATGGTTGATAATAGCGATAGCGAAAACGAGGGATGATGTGAAAAAAGTTCAATTCTCATATTGGCAGTCCACCGATTGAAAGTACGCGAGATAGCTTATGAGTGCCGTGTTTGCTAACTCTGGACAACAAGCGCAACCGCGAAACCATCTCATATTATTTTTTGATACTGTACAATCAAAAGAGATTTTTGTGTCCTTTTCGATGGACAAAACATAGATGGACTTGTATAAATCAGAGACCAAGGTACAATCGCAGCAGTGAACTTCATACGGCAAACCTGCTACGAAGAAAGGAAATACTGTCCTATCGGTTGGAAGAGTGATAGTTACCGTTGTCTGGAATTTCCAAAGTATGATCTATTTTAACTACTATGGGTAGTATTTGCCGATATCTTCATTTACTGAAAAAATACTGAGGGTCACACCTGCGCGGTCGCACGGTGAAATTGGGCGAATTAGCATACAGACTTCTGCCACTTTCATCGTATTTTCCATATTTGATCCCGTGCGACTTTGTGTACCCAAGCTTTGGAAATAAACTTGTCAGGCAGAAATTTAAGTGAAATTAAGTG